GAGTCGGCGAGGCGCGCCCCGCCCCGCCCCCAGCTCCAGCGCCTTTACCCCTGCTCTCTAGGGTCTCTAGCCAAGCTACGAACTGCCCTCCCATCAGGGCAAGGAGCATGCATTTGGGTGTCTCACTTGCTGTTTTATCACTCGGGGACATGGAGCAACTTCCTCTTCCCTTCTTCCTCCCGTCTTCCTCTATTTTTCAGAGGAAGAAAGATGAAGGTGTTTGTTCCCCTAAAAATGTCATGGAAACACTGCTCTGTCCTACAGGGTAGGTACAAGCGGATTCGAATGGATGACAATGGAGATGGTTCTGTGTCCAGTTAACCACTGAGCACTGAGATCAAAGTCATATTTTCCAGTTTTTCTACACTCGGCAAAGGAAGATCACGCACCCTGCCTCGTCCCGTCATAGACCGATTTCCATCAGTGAAAGCCAAGCAGGCTGAAAGTGACCTGATGGTATGATGCCAGAAGATGGACGTTTTATGAGAGTTGAAAGATTTCCTGACTGTGCTGACATAGCCAAAACTATCAGCTCAGTGTGTTTCTTGCTGACACCTATTTCCCCTTAATTCTCAAGTTCTACCCAATATCAGGTTCATGATATCCATGTATCAACCCTCTAAATGTGCATATTTAAAACATATTGGATAAAATATTGTCATTGTATCTAGAATTCTCAGAATATATTTCACACTCTGATATCTATATTCTAAATTAACAACTAATTTTTATTGTCCTTACCCATAATCAAAATTGTTTGATTAAATATTAGTTAAAAAGTTATATTACTAGCCTTTTTGAATCAGATGTCTTATGTTTTGTTTTGATTTTATGCCAATAGTATTTTATTTTTAATTCAGGTAAAATAGAGAAGATATATTTATCCACAAGCAACTGAAGAATGTATATGCATATTCTGTGGAAACAAAACAAAAACAATGACAACATTGTTCTTTCATATGTTTTAGAGTTCTCAAAGGGCATTATTATTGATAGCATTATTAATTATCATGACTGATTTTCATTTAAAAATGTCAGTAAGACCCAATGAGGAAGACAACTCCAATTACAACTCCAATATAATTTTTATATAGTGCTATGTTGCCCTGTTTCCCCGAAAGTAAGATACCCCCCCAAAATAAGACCTACTTACGTCTTGCCTCTTGCTGAAATACCCTGTTTCCCCGAAAATAAAACAGTGTCTTCTATTAATTTTTGCTCCCAAAGATATGCTAGGTCTTATTTTCAGGGGATGTCTTATTTTTCCATGAAAAAGAATATGGCACACATTTATTGTTTATTGTTTTATTAGAACAGACCTCGCACTTCCTGTCTGCTTTGGCTGTGCTGCAGCCAACAGTGAGATGCGTGGCGGTGACCACTGCTAAGGTCCAGGGTCCAGAGTTACGGTAACTTTGGGGGTCCTTATTTTCGGGGAGTTCTTATTTGGGGGGATGCCTTATATTTCAGCGAGAGGCAAAACTGTAAGTAGGTCTTATTTTCAGGGGATGTCTTACTTTTGGGGAAACAGGGTATAAGGCACCCCCCCCAAAATAAGACCTCCCCTAAAATACAGGTTTGAATTGTTATGATGATGTTCCAGAAGATAATGACATGAATGTTATTGAATAAATGAGTAAATGTACCATAGATTGTTGTACATGGAAATAATGGTAGTAACAAGAAATTCTTGATACTGTAGGATTCAGTTTGTCTGGTTATGCTGGTTTGTGATGACAACTACTACCGTACCGTATACAGGTAATAAATTTCCTTTTTTGTTGTTCAACAATAAATGTGTCCCTTATTCTTCTTCATGGAAAAATAAGACATCCCCTGAAAATAAGACCTAGTGCATCTTTAGGATAAAAATTTATATAAGACACTGCCTTATTTTCGGGGAAACAGGGTAATTCAAATATTAACAAGCTTGAGTTGTATTTTAAAACTGGTATTATGGTAAAGTTGGATGTCAGACATTTGAGCAAGGGCAAAATTTCTTTGCTTACCATGGGCAGTATGTTCCAGACATATACTTTTGCCTTCCTGCCTTGGCTAGCTTCAGTAGCAGGCTCCTGCTAAGGTGTAATAGTTAGGCCTGGGACTCCTAGAAAACTAGACCTAGTGCTTGCCTCTAGCAAGTTTTTGGTGGGAGTGGGACAAATCTGAGTGGGACAATTCCTCATGTTGTGGTGACTTTGAGAAAGGTGCTCTGGGGGTATTGAGGGTAAAGAGAGGTCCTTGTGGGGAATCAGAAGGTTTCTTAGAGGAGGTAAGGCACCCTCAAGCTTCCACTGAGGATGGAATGGGAAGCACAAAACCTCCAGCAGCATTGCTTCTTTCACAGGTTTTGACCATCCCCGCTAGGCTGGTGAGGCAGATGTAGACAGCACTAAGGTGAATCAAGTGCTAGCTGTGCCCATGACATGAGAGTTAGTGTACAACAAGAGACAGGGTGACTCCAGAGCACCGAGGCCAAGAAGATAAATCCCAGCTGCTGATCTGAGGTTTTGTCAGGAGGGAGGAGGTCAGCTCAGTTGCTAAGAGGGAGAAAGAAGGCATGGGTGGTGGGGTGGGCGTGGAGAGGCACGAGTGGGTTGCTACAGGGCTATAGACTTAAGCTTTCCTAGCCTGGGCAATGGGAAGTTGGAAGTGTAGCGAGGAGTCAAACTTGTTTGGAGATGGCTCACTTGAGTGGACCCATGCCTGAAAATCATAGAGAAGAAAAGGTGGACTTCACAGAAATAATGCTGCAAGAATTAAAGTCCAGTGATTGGAGAATGGGCTACCCTTTGGGCTTATGGGTTGGCTTTCAAACCCATAATGGACACTGTTTTTGTGAGCTAGACAGAAGCTTCCCACAGGTTGGAAGCTTCCCAATGGTCGTGACAATACTCAAGCTTGTCTGCTCTTGATCCCAGAATATCATCACCGAGGAACCCTGGTGGCATAGTGGGATAAGCATTGGGCTACTAATTGAAAGGCCAGCAGTTCAAACCAGGGAGAAAGATCAGTTTTCTGGTTCTGTAAAGATTTACAGTATCAAAAATCCTAAAGGAGTTCTGTCAATCACAATTATCGATATATAACAGTCCCTCCCCCCCCCAAAAAAAGGGGAGAAGAACAACAGAAACATGGATGACGGGAGACTGTGGTCTCTGTAAGATATGAAAATAATAACAATTTATAATTTATCAAGGGTTCATGGGGGAGGAGCAAAGAGGAGCTAATACCAAGGGCTGAAACAGAAAGAAATGTTTAGAAAATGATGATAGCAACATATGCACAAATGTGCTTGATACAATTGATGTATGAATTGCTTTAAAAGCTTTAAGAGCCCCCAATAAAATGATGAGAAAAAAAATCCTAAGGAACAGTTCTCCTCTGTCCTGTAGGAAAACTAGGAGTTGAAATCATCTCTATAACAGAAGGTTTAGTTTGGATATGCCATCACGAAAAGAGCCCTGGTGGGGCAATGGATATGTGCTCAACTTCTAACCGAATAGTTGTAAATTTGAGTCCATCAGTGACTAGAGATTTTGTTGAGAAAAGATCTGGCAATCTGCTTCCATACAGCTTACAGCCTTGAAAACCCAATGAAGTAATTCCATTCTGCTCTTTAAGTTTTCTAAGACTTGTAACTGTCAACAGCACCAACCAGGGCTTCAAACTGGTTCAGTTGTGCTCAATAAAGCAACAAAGGAATAGATCTGAATTTTAAAAGTTTGTGTGAAGCAGAATGATAACAGGCATGGGAAATTTTACAGGTTGAAGCCTTGGAATGGAAGACTCAGAAGAGGTATAGTGAGGTCTTTTTAAGAGCCTGGTGTAGGAGATTGAATTGTTGGCATGACTGTGGAGAGCAAAACACATTAGACTGACATGGGTACCACCATTTTTGATTGAGGCACCACTGTTCTGATTCTGCCATACATGAGATTTGGTTGCTCTGCAAAGAGAAAACTGCTTTTATTTTCTAAGAGGAAGATCAACTTTCTAGGAAGGTATCAGCTCAAGGCCAAAGACAGGCTCCTGTGGTGTCAAGCCCTGCTTTCCCGTTGGCATGACAGGACCACTATATAGTGCATAAAGGTGGGACTTGCCATTCCACCTCTATAGGTGGGAGACGAAGCAGCTCTTGTGGGGCCAATGGTTAAATGCTGGGCTGCTAATAGCAAGATTGACATTTTGAACCCACCCAGAGGCTCCATTGAAAAAAGACCTTCCATTAAGATTACTGTCATGTGGGACACTATATTAGATTAGTCTATAAGTGGCTTAACAACACCTAACAATAGCAATAACAGATGGGAGATAAGGTGAGAATTCAGTCAGAAGTCCCTCTAAGGCGTCAAAAACAGGCAGCTAAGAGGTGAGGTGGGAGAGAAAGAATTCTGGTCACAACGAGATGGGATGAGCGACAATATGTATGTAGTAAATATATATATATACATTTATGGCTATAGTTCTGTTTGCATTTCCACCCCTTTGAACACTTGCAGATTATTGTTATTGCAGGATTGGGTTGTTGTTGTTGTTGTTGTTGCCCTCAAGATGGTTCTGGCTCACAGTAACCCTATGTACAAGAGAACGAAAAACTCCCCAGGCCTGTGCCATCCTCACAATCATTCCTTTGCTTGCGCCCCTTGTTGCAGCCACTGTGTCAATCCATTTTGTCAAAGGTTTTCCTCTGTTTGGCTGGCTTTCTACTTTACGAATCATGGTGTTCTCCGGGGACTGCTCTCTCCTGACAACATGTCCAAAGTACGTGAGATGAAGTCTCGCTATCCTTACCTTTAAGAGCA